CAAGATGGCGTCGGACCCTTACCAGAGGTTCGAGGAGTATCTTATGCATTACCAACCTGCTGTGGGTAACGTACGTTACCACGATATGGGTAGACAGTTTGTCAATAAACAAGAACCCGTAAACTTAAACTGGGATTTTGATGAGTGTTTGAATGCGTTTCACAAGGATACACTGTCCTTTCTGATACCGTATGATTTGCACCTAGATTATGAATCGTGGTGGTATGGCGGCTGGATTACTCGTCAGTTGATCTCCATGCTGTATCACAGCTATCGCATGCAGTGCATGTTACGAATCATATATCAAATAGACCTGTTTCGAAGGACAGATATAAGAAATGTTTTGATTATGAAAAACCGCGGGACTATATTTCGTCTGCATTGCTGACAAAAACAAAAGCCAGCCCAGCCAGAGCCAATACATTTAAAAATGCCCTATTGAAAGGAATCACTTCGCTCAGCAGTCCAGGTACCCTACAACCGGGCCCTAGCGTCCGAATTCCCGGCCAGCCGAAACTAAAAGGTAACCATTCGTATCTTGTGACGCCGGATTTTATCCTACAACACTGGGACCCTACCCACCCCATGATTAGAAAGAAATTAACTTGGTTGGAAAAACCAGAAATACAGAAAATCCTCGGCCTAAAAAAACGTCGTCTGCAGCCTTTTACACCTGACACTTTGTACTGCACCGCACCGAATATATTTTCACTTACGACTGGGCAATGATATAAAGTGATACTAGAGGGGCACCAATTATAAGCTTTTTAGACGCCTTTCATTCAGCATTAGAATTGGAAATTTGAATGCATGTATTTTGGTCAAAAAAATGTTTGTTTTGATTCAAGTTAACTTTCTTTGAAGACAAAATGTTGTGCAACCGGTGACAGATTCGGGACATTATCAAACGCGGATTGGATACCTATAACCCATATAATCATTTTAATTGTCTGGCACGCTACCTCTCAAAGCAACATGAACAACATCATGGACCACAAAGTATTCCCGACTTTAATAAAGTACTTTTAGTCATAAGTATTCTGTTTATACATATATATGTAGTATGTGACTGTCAATGGCAGGTATGCAGTTAATTGGTGGAAAGCAAGGCGGTTCACTTTAAATTCATTGTAAACATACACAAATCTGCATAGTGAAAATAAAACTTAAACTAAACTAAAAACAAAATGACACAATCAAGTAACATCCCCTAAAATCCCAAGACTTGAAACAGAATGTGTTTTACATGTGCATGCCTTTGATTTTGGGAAGGAAATTTTGAATCAAGCTAGTCTACTCTGTTGTCTATAACTGTTTGTGTTATGATAACACCTAGAATTTAATGCACAAATGTACTTCATCAGTTATATACACATGCAGTTAATTTTTTCAGCAGACAAGTTTACCATGAAATAGTCATCTGAAAACATTCTGTGACTTGAAATATACCAGTATATATTCAAAGTTATTATCAAAACTGTTTTGAGTTTTTAGTGTAGCTGGTTCTAGTATATGTATGCCACCACTAACACAAAGAAAAGGCTGTCATATTCACAACAGGGTAGATTATCCTACATCGAAGACAGTACCTGAAATAGTGACAGTTCTGTCTTTGTCTTTTTATATTATATATATTAGATTATCACTTACCTTACAACAAATATTCAGAGCTTAATCGATTAGCTGGGCAAATTGACGAATCCAAGACTGACAAGAGTCTATAGTGGTTGAACAAAAAAAGGACATTTTAAAGACGACCAGCTCCTATGGCCATTTTTTGATATATTCTGGGGCACACCAATCCTTCTGAGGTGCACCTAAGTATATCTAGTGCCTGTCCGTCATAAAATTAGGTAAGTATTATGCTTTAAGCACTGTGCTAGTACACAGCAAAATACCCGCCATGTTGAAAATAGGTCGCAGAGCTACCATTGTTATATTACATTTAGTTTCACAACTTCAGAAAATGAAAAAAAATTAATTTGCTTCATAAGTTTGTCCGTGGGGCAAATATGTTATTTAAATATGTTTTTTCAAAAACCTATAAATGGTTTTGATGATTGATTTAGTTGAAGAAGCAATTTAACATTTCAGTTGTATAAAATTATACGCTTTTTTGGCCTTTTTAAAATTGTTATAGTTCTATTTTACAAGGTTAAAGGGATAATAACTCTTCGTTTTGGCCAAAAAATGAATTTTCCTGGAGTAAACAATAATTTTCCCATACTTACTAATGGTTAATGAATCCATTTTTACATTCAAAGTTAGTCCCTGGTTTATTTCTAAAAAATTTGGTTTTTTGTTAAAATCTCTTAAGAGATTATAACAGAGTATAGCCATCAATGGAGGTCACGTGGTCTGAAGACAAGCTCAAATATCAGAATAATAGCTATAACTGCTGTTTTTGTCGTAAAACAGAATATATTACATTTCTATGAGTTATTCACAACGTTTTTATTGTGAAATATAGATCTCATACAAAGAGTTATTATCCCTTTAAGCACAGATTTTCTTTTGCAAAATACATTTTTTCAACCCTTTCCCATCAACATATACCAAAATTATATGAATACAGCCTGCAAAAAGGAGATATGTGTATTTGAAGAAGGGTAGGGACTCAAGCATGTGGAAAACATGCCTTAGCAGAATCAATCAATTTGGATAAATCTATACTGGACTGGTTATTAAAAGCTCTTTTCTTAATCTATTATATGGCTTATCTAAATTATTTCTTACGATATGATTTTAAAAAAGAATATTTAAAATTATAGCTTTTCAAGAGCTAAAAAGTGGTATATTTTGCCAAAAAAGATTTTGCCACATATCTCCAAAACTTATGGTCCTAAGTAAGAAAGCTAGTGGCTGCCAGTATCTGTCATGTTAATGGAATTGCCACAACAAAAATTATTAAAATCTGTTCGCCCCCGCCTTGCCACTTTTTAAAATCGATTTTCCTGGTTTTCTCATGGACGCACTCTTAGGTCTCATATTAAATTTATTAGCATTATTATTATCATGGTTATTAATATAATTATTACTATTGTTATCATTTTTATGATATTTCGTATGTAAACTAATGTTGTACCGCACCATTGACGACGATGTCACGGAAACATCAGCTATCAAGTGTCCCTCGGCCGAACAGACAGGCATTGTAGGCTTGTTATCTGATGATAATAAATTCGGAACAATGACAGCTTTTGATATAAATCAAACCACTCGACTCGACCATGTATAATCTCATGACATTTACTGAAGAAAGTTATGGAAAACCGCCGCAAGCAAAGTAAGAAGATAGTGAACAAAATCTTGAAAAACTATCGACCGTCTTCCGAAAGACCCAGTAGACGGTCTTCATCCGCCCCTGAGGACGGGAAAACGAGGCGAAAACAGTGACAGGTACTGCTGACATGGTTTTCTTTTATACTTGGTATTATTTAACAACCGTAAATGCTGTGTATTAAGGTCATTTTATTGCTTTGGTTAAAACGTTTATATGCAGATTTAAACCAAAATATGTTTGTGAGTAACAGTGAGTAAAATTTCATAGATAGATACGCGTGCTACACATTATGGAGACAACGGTAAATGTACATGTACCTGTACAACTGCAGTTTGCAGTTGCATATCATCTTGCAAGCATTTTCAAAATAAATAAATAAAAAAGATTGTTAAATACAATTTTAAAAGCGTGAAAACACATTTTGCAACGAACGATTCAAAGGTCATCATTTAGTGACCTGTATGTTATGCACAGTCTATTTGAATAAGTAGAAGAAAGATTGGGTATTTTTTCAAACCAATGAAGTTACTAGTGCAGGAGTTTTGATATAGGTACACATCAATATTTAAAAACGAACGAGAAATAAAATTAATAACCTTAATAACGCAAAATAATTCAAAACTGTTTTCATATAAGGAGAAAGCAGTGTTTTTCGTCAACCAGTAGGTAATATAGAAAATTTTAAGGTAATAAATATAGTGGTTTGTCTTAAATTACAGTTTTTGGAGATTGCTGGATTTGCTGATGCTCAACTGCAGAAGGTAATGATGACATCTAAGAGGTTCATACACGTTTGTCTGTCAACAATAGTGACTATTTCTGTTTTTTGGTTTATGTGGATAAATCAAATTATTTACGTAAACAAAAACACAAGGGACAACGGCGTCAAGACAGCCCCGACTACTACTAGAATGGGTATCGGGTACAATGGCTTGCCTGAATCCATTGAGTTATCGTTGGAGATAAGGTATGCAGTTGTGCAACAGAGAAATTACAGTCTGACAACCGGCAAGCGATTTGTGTATCTCATTATGGGCCCAACCAAACGGGTCATCAAAGGATTAGAAGAAACTAAGAAACGGGACGTCATTTGGATGACGTTTGAAGATAAGTCGGGTGACATTTACGCCCCGGGCACATCCCACAATTCCGGGAGAAATGTGCTTCTTAATCACGCGGTCAACTTAGCGGCCCAAATGAAAGACGGCGGTTATCTCTATTATATATTAATGGACGATGACGTGGAGCTTTCGGTTAGGTCGGATGGGCAGGTTAATTGGAAAGCTTGGTCCAAGATGGCATCGGATCCTTATCAGAGGTTTGAGGAGTTTCTTATGCATTACCAACCTGCTGTAGGTTACGTACGTTACCGAGATATGAGTAGTCAGTATGTCAACAAACAAGAACCCGTAAACTTGAACTGGGATTTCGACGAGTGTTTCAGTGCTTTTCACAAGGATACACTATCATTTTTGCTACCGTATGATTTGCACCTAGACTATGAATCGTGGTGGTATGGCGGCTGGATAATCCGTCAACTGGTGTCAATGCGGTATCACAGCTATCGCATGCAGTGCAACTCGCTGCGGGTTACGAATCATATATCAAATAGACCTGTTTCGAAGGACAGATATAAGAAAGCTTTGGATTTTGGAAAAACGCGGGACTACATGTCGTCTGCCTTACTGCCTCACCAAAGCGCAACACATTAAGCAAGACTCTTTTGAAAGGAACCTCTTCGCTCGGAAGTCCAGGTGCCTTTCGGCCGGGCCCTAACATCAAGATTCCTGGCCAACCGAAACTAAAAGGTAACCATTCGTATCTTGTGACGCCCGATTTTATCCTACAACACTGGGACCCTACCCATCCCATGATTAAAAGGAAATTAAATTGGTTGCAAAAACCAGAAATACAAAAAATTCTCGGACTAGATAACCGTCGTCTGCAGCCTTTTACACCTAACACTGTGTACTGCACCGCACCGAATAAATTTTCACTGACTATTGAAAAATAACATCAAATAATTAAGAAAACGTATATGTACGCATCAGTGGACTTTCAAATGACTTCAGCTTACATTTGATTCCTTTAATAAATGTTTGTTCTTGTCAAAATTTTGTTTGATTCGGTGTCATCGTTCGTAGGATCTAATAGTACATGCTTTATATGTATTGCGTGGTGATTTCCTGTCGATGCAAAAAGAGCAAAGAGAATGTATGTATTTCTTGATATTTATTTTATTCCCTCATTAAGAAAGGGGTGCAAAGATAAAAAAAAAAAAATCACTGCCGAGAAAATAACCTTTTTCTTTTGTACGGAAGGTCTTAAAATAGAGGTTTATAAATCAGTGTTCGTTCAAAATCATATACCAAGTATTATCACAACCTTCTACTGACAGATGGGCACATGTAGAAAAATCACATGTCTACCATTTCTTACACCGTATGATATACACCCATAGATTACGTGGAATCCTAGTTTTAAGTCGCGCCGATAGATGGCGGCAGCGCGCGCGAGAGTAGGCCTACCCATATGTAATAAGACGAAAGGCCTATGGTGTTTACCACGAGGTGGCACTTGTCAACAGACGTGTACACATATGTCCAGTAGAAAACATTCACTGTCCCACTGGGATAGCGGACATTGTCCACCCCAGACTGACTAGGGTCCGTACAGGTAGGCTGTTAGCTTACCCCGTATTCGACTGCCCATGTTGTCAACAAGCACTGGGGAGTTCACATCAGAGACGGTTGACGGTTTTTTTTTTTTTTTTTTTGGGGGGGGGGGTCGGGGGGGGTTTAAAGCACCGTTCTTCGGGTGGTAAAACATTCGTTATCACAAAAAATACGCTTATAGGTCAGTCAAGGGAATACAAAGATACCATTTTTCATTTAAAAATAACGGCAACCCCTTTTAAAATCTGAAAAGCATGCACAGGCTACTACTGTAGTTCCAGTATACATGTAGGGCCTATATCTTCATATCATATACATTTCAGGGTTACTACTCCAGTACTTCTTTGACTTTAGATTTTCTTCCATTTCTTCATGTAACAAATTAAATCAAGTCAGTTTTTTCGGAGTAGATTCTCATACCATCCTGGCTTTATAGATGTACGGATCGCTTCTGAGACTCTCCCATCTGTCGCCACATCGAATTTCACAGCCAGATGTCGCTAGCTGTGAGTAGACAAGGAAACGTTTGCACGGGGACAAACGTCGTGCCTCGATATGAGGATGAGGTCACCTGGACAATGTTTGGCTTTTTTTAGCCCGTAAATTCTACAAAATATCAATTTATCTAATAAATAGGCCATGCATAAGGATTTATTTAAGCGTATGCTTTATTTTTGTTATTACTGAAGATTCAAACAATAATCAAGAAGTCTTTTGATGTGCGCCACACCATATAAACTTTATTTAAACTTTGCAATTTTTGAAAGATTATAAATTGTTTCCTATAGTTAAGATGACATATATTTGTACGGCACCCGGGATATCGATTGTAATTGCAGACGTAAACAGGTACATCCAAAGTGGTCCTCTGCGTGACAAGGTAGCAAGTTCCCATCTGATCTGGAATCTATCTACGAAGCTTCTGCGGCGCCGTGGTAACTCTGATGGCTTGGTCACATGTATGCACATCTGCGCGAGTTCGAGTACTAGTATGTTCAATGTTATTTATTATTATTATTATTTTATTTTTATTTATTTATTTATTTATTTATTTTTTTTTTTTGCTAGAAATAATTTTAAAAAATTGCATTTGAATACTATAAGAGGAAACACGTACGGAGGGGGGGGGCGTTCAGTCACAGCGCAGTCGGTGGCGTGTGCGAAAAAAAAACACTTCTTGCTGATAATCCCACCGAGAACTTAGCACCTTTTTGATAAATGGAAACTATAGAATGCATGACACCATGCAGGGCCTGCTATAATTTGATCTGTGACGTAGCTGGTAAAAGAGAGATCAACGACCACCCCCACCTAAGTATCATTTTAAGGACTTTAAAGTGAAGAGAAAAGATATATTATTTTTTAATATCCTCCTCTTGGAATTAATATTTTGACAAGTTGATTGATAGCTCTAAACCGCACTGTTTGCCCTCCAAATCACCAAAAATATTTAGGGCCTTCAGTGCCCCCCCCCCCCCCACCACCACCACCACCACTCCCTTCAAATAATCCTGGTTACTCCCCTACCCTTTCAATATACTGGTAGACAAAATAAATGCCATTCGAGGCAAAGTCTGATTAATTTACCTTTTGATTCATACATGTACATTTAACAAAATAATTTCCATAAATTAACTCTTTCAAATGACACCAGAAACCAAACCAAGTCAAATAAACCAGGTGGAGTTCACTGGCAGGCTTTGTCAATTTCGCCTTCTTGTTTATTAAAAAAAAAAAAAAAAAAAAGGCGCGCTTTTCGGGCATGCGCAGTCGTGTGACACCTTTGCTGGAAGCGCTATCTTTACCTGACAATACCTGATTCGGGTCAGACGTATTGCTTAGAACAAGAAGACGCTGCCACACAGGTAAGGTGCTAGGATGGCAAACAGGATCATAAATTTTAAAGTACAAGTAACTAAAAATCATTATTTCCCTCTTTTGTGAAACACTTAGGGCCAAGCAAAGAGCCATTGTGCCGGGGTACCATTCAGTTCAGTGGTAAAAAAAAAGGAATGATTAGAGTCCGCCATTATGTCATGAAAAGGCGGAGAGAGAGAGGGGGAGGAGGGGGGGGGGGAGAGAAGGAAAGGGGGAAGGGGGAGAGAGAGAGAGAGAGGGAGGGAGGGAGGGAGATAAAGAGGGGAGGGGGTAGCGAGGGAGGGAGGGGGAGGGCGGGAGGTGGGAGGGAGAAGGGGGGAGGGAGGGAGATAGAGAGAGAGACAGTCAGGCTCCCTCAGCCCTCTTTCCCCTAATACGCAGTGGGGCGTGGACGAGCAGTGTTATTGGATGTGACAGGAATGGTAGTCATAGAAATTGACGTCCGGGGTCCCGTCTGATAGGCTCTTGTACAGGTTAGGCTTTATTGTAGTATTGGGGTTACTAGTACGCTTTTGGGACGAATGTCACCTGCACAAAGTAAAGGAGCGAGAGCAGACTACGGTTCCTATTATAGCTAGAGGAAACGAGACACCTTGAATCCTGGTACACCGATTTCAGGTCACAGCCATGCTGCATACACGGAAGTCGTGCATGTTGAATCACTGTTTTGCAGTGGTAAAATCGATAGCATCCATATGTTAATGCCAGGTGTTTTTTTATTTTCATTCTTAAACGTAGCATTGTTGAATTATTCGTCACGCAGCAGAAAGACTGTATAGAATAAGCGGGGTCGGTTTACAGTGTAGGGTTTTTTATTTTTATATTAAAATATTTGTACAACCTTTTGAAGCCGTTAAAATTAATTTTAAAAAACCTTTTTCTTACGCTTTAACAAACATTATAATCAATATACTCAAGTTCAGTTACTTAAGCCCCCTTTACACTGGACGGCGTCCTTTCTGCGTCCAGCAGTACGGCCCCATTTGAAAGTTAAAAAATTATAATACTTTACGTGCCGACAACTGGCCGATCATTGAGCATTCATTCTGATACAAAATCAATGCTCGAGCTTCCTTATTAAGACCACAGCGATGCCAAATTTCCTGGTCGCAGAAAGGACGCAGAAAGGACGACGTTCAGTGTAAAGGGGGTATCATAAATATGTTTGGTTGCCAGATAGAAAGTGACCCACTCCTTCAAACCTACTTGATCAACATAGCAAGTGCTCAACAAACCAAATCATTGCACAAATGTTGAACATTTGTCCCCTTTTTCGCTGACCCGTGTCACCAATACAACATTTTCCGCTGTATTATTCGAAACGTGGGGAAAATATGTCATTCCGGTATACCGCACTCTTCACGCTGCTCAAAGACACTGAATAGATATCCCATGGGGAAGTATTCAAGCGGGTTGGCCATATTTGACCCTCGTACTATGTAGTACCCTATTCTGAATGGCCAGGAATTTTTCGCCCTGATACAGACTGGGTGTAGACGTTCTCACCTCCCTTGGGAGGATACAGGTCATGTACAACCTTATAACAGGGCCACAGATTGATTTTTTCACAAGATATTAACAGATATATTCCTGGTACTTCGTTTTCTAGTGTAAGAGACAATTTGTGCATGGAATTAATGTCGCCACTCTGGCTTCTAGTGTAGAGGAAGAAGACATAGTCCAGCTGCCGGGTGAGGCGCTGATAGCTTTCAAATTAACAATATTTTCCACCGCTAGACCAGTAACAGTTCACAACCGAAAGTGCCGACTGCCAAATTAGATATTATAAACCAGTAAGATATTACAGTGTTGTAAATACATTCTACATGTTTTTATACTTTCGTATAATTGGTTATGGCGAAGAATGTGAAAATAAACAAAAAACAAACTGCGAATCCAAACTAAGAAATGAAAGACGATATATTATTATTTTTTTTAAATTTCAGGTATTTTGGTTCAGATGTGCCTAATGTCAACTGCAGCAGACGATGGGGACAAATAAAAAATTCATATACGTACTGGCATTGCTGTTAACCATCGTGACTGGCTCTGTGTGGCGTTTTTTGTGGGTGAATAAAGGTGTCTTGGTAAACTTGAGTAGCCGGATGCAAAGCATCGGAGTCTGGAAATCCATTCAACAAAATCCGCAAAGACTGCTTTCTGCGATTTCTGATGACCATAATGAATTGCCTGAATCCGTGAATTTGACATTTGAGCATGGATATGTAGTTTTCAGACCAAGAAATTACAGCCAGACAACTGGGAAGCGATTTGTGTATCTCATTCAGAGCCCAAGTAAAGGGGTCATCAAAGGATTACAAGAAACCAAGGAACGTGACGTCATTTGGATGACGTTTGGGGATATGTCAGGTGACATTTACGCCCCGGGCACCTCCCACCTTTCCGGTAGAAATGTGCTTCTTCAACACGCGGTGAACTTAGCGGCCCAAATGAAAGACGGCGGCTATCTGTATTATATATTATTGGACGATGACGTGGAGCTTTCGGTTAGGACGGATGGGCAGGTCAATTGGAAAGCTTGGTCCAAGATGGCATCGGATCCCTATCAGAGGTTCGAGGAGTTTCTTATGCATTACCAACCTGCTGTGGGTTACGTGCGTTACCAAGATATGAGTAGACAGTTTGTCAATAAACAAGAACCCGTAAACTTGAACTGGGATTTTGATGAGTGTTTGAATGCGTTTCACAAGGATACACTGTCCTTTCTGATACCGTATGATTTGCACCTCGATTATGAATCGTGGTGGTATGGTGGCTGGATTACTCGTCAGTTGATCTCGATGCTGTATCACAGCTATCGCATGCAATGCAACTCACTGCATGTTACGAATCATATATCAGACAGACCTATTTCGAAGAACAGATACAAGAAATTTTTTGATTATGAAAAACCGCGGGACTATATTTCGTCAGCATTGCTGACAAAAACAAAAGCCAGACCAGCTAGAGCCAATACATTAATCCAGGCTCTATTGAAAGGAACCACTTCGCTCAGCAGTCCAGGTACCCTACAACCGGGTCCTAGCGTCCGAATTCCCGGCCAGCCGAAACTAAAAGGTAACCATTCGCATCTTGTGACGCCGGATTTTATCCTACAACACTGGGACCCTACCCATCCCATGATTAGAAAGAAATTAACTTGGTTGCAAACACCAGAAATACTGAAAATCCTCGGATTAGATAACCGTCGTCTGCAGCCGTTTACACCTGACACTTTGTACTGCACCGCACCAAATACATTTTCACTTACGATTGGTCCATGATGTAAATGATAAACATTATATACACCTGTACGTACATGTACCAATTATATGCTTTAAAGACGCCTTTCAGTATTAGAATTGATTATTTGAAGGAATGTATTTTTGTCAAAAATTATTTGTTTCGATTCATTTCAACTTTCCTTGAAGAGAAAATTCCGTGCAACCGGTGACAGGTCGGGACGAGGATAAGGCATCTTAAACGCCTGTCTTCTTTTGCACGTGCGTTTTCAATCACACTGATTCAATCAGAACCACGATGTTGACCATACCAGAAGTCGGCCGGTATAACGAAACTGAGGGTGCATGTAACAGAAATTCCGCCCTCCATTTTGTTATAATGGTTAGGGTTAGCCTTACCTACATGTACATGTAAGTGGGTCAAAGTCTAGGGTGAAGCTTACGTTTAAAGAAATGAATGGGAAGCGGACACTTTATCATGGGTCTCTCTCTCTCTCTCTCTCTCTCTCTCTCTCTCTCTCTCTCTCTCTCTCTCTCTCTCTCTCTCTCTCTCTCTCTCGTTACACACCAGCATTTCAAATTCATGTCATTGTGTACAGATCTGTCCAGAAGAAAAAATATTCATTGCTAAACTGGGACAGAGGAAAGCTGTTTGATACATGTACTAGTAAGCGCGGGGAATCTTAAAAAGTAAAATACTCCATGTGCGGCCATGAAAATGTTATTGAAAAATGCATTTGAAATCGTAGAAAGGTTAAGATTAGGCCATGCATATGATAGTCCTTCACTTATATCTTACAACATATCTTGATAAAACTCATTTCTTGTTCACCCTCACGTCTCCATGTACCTACAGCTTAAAATTTTCCAAATGACGTCAAGATGACGTCACAACATCACGTCACGATTCACAAGGTTAGACAACACAGTTGTAATATCCATAACCCTTAATTGAGTTAGTCAAACCCGAGGCGAGGTGGGAGGGTGGGGGGGATAGGAGTACAAGGGGGACTCGGGGGTTCGACATAACCGTCTATATAGGTCGTCAAATGTCTTTTCTGACTTAAAAATAAGATCAGTCATTAGAATACTACGATACACTTAATTAAGCAAAGGCTTAATTGCTGGGTTTCCTTTGCAATACTTCGTTTCAGTGGATGTAAGGCTAAGGTGATGGGTATAACAAAGAGTAGCATTGTTTTTAAGGATAATATAATAGTGCACACATATTTATATTGAATTCCTTCTTATGTGAAGCACTTGAGCCCTGGTCAAGAGCCAATATGGAGACGTGTAATATCACTATATGACTATTTTGGCAAAGGTCACTGAGTAAAGCAGGGGGCGGATCCAGGATTATTTGAAGCGATGCCCGAACCCCACACCAAGGGGGCGATGGTCGGCTTCGCATCAGAGGTCTGTCGTTCCCCTCCGGACCCCCACCCTTCAAATAATCATGGATCCGCCCCTGAGCTCGACCTCCTCCTCTCTCTTCCCCTGGGTTAACGATTTTTCACGAGGACTTCTCCCTGTCAGTACTGAGGTCTGGCTGATTAAATGTTCATGTTTACGTGCTGTTTGAGTTCCGCAATCAATATCAATAGCAAGCTATATTGTTAAGGCTGTGCGTTTTTCACTTTCATGAAGAGTCGCTTGAGGTTTGCTTGTCACGTGCATGAACGACTGCATGCTGGCCTGGTTAGGTTAAGGTAAGGCTCTGACATACTTAGCGTTAAGAGAAGCGTATGGGTATCTTAGATTGCATTCTCATAGATTTAGATCGACCCATCTAGATCGAACTAACTCCCTGGGAGTTCACGCTAAATTGCTGTCATCCGAGCGCGCACTGTAGTTAATTACCCCCTTACAGCTTTTAGTGGGCGGGACAGGCATTTAAGCCGGCTAAGCTGACAGTAATCTAGTGAGACTCCCCTCAGGGATAGATCGATCTAAAATCTGTGGGAATGGGGTCTTAGTTACATCGATATTCGCTCATCTTTAATTGTATGTAATCATCCTGATTCCAGCGTATTCAAATGAAGATATATAAGCAGCGCATGAAATATACTGACAATAAATGAAAACGCATCAGAAAACTTTCTTGTACTTTTTTTTTACCGAGAATCGATTTCAACCATATAAACGAGAAGAAATGCACTTGTTTGGTCATAAGAGAGTCACCTTGTTTGACTGAATAATGGGTCATATTTCACACGAAAACTGTTATTTTCTTAATGTTCCAAAGGAACTTAAAATATTATTTGATAAATAAATGATGCGTTTTCATTGATTGTCAGTATATTTTTTGAATAGGTTCAAAACAATTTGTCTCCCTTCGAGCATACGAACGTAAACCAAAGTTTGCCTGCGTACTGGAGACGTATACGACGTAAGCCTAACGAACCCCTTGCGCCTGTGTGCATATTGGCAATTTTTCTCATACGTTAGTGCCATGCGCTAGGTGTGGCAAAGCCTTTACTCTTCTGTTTTGTGGCTACGAGGTTCTCCGCTCAGACGACTCTCTAAATAATAGCAAGTCTACTGGGGGGGGGGGGGGAGGGGGGAGTGGATAAATCCAAGTTTTTTGATGGTTTATAAAAATAAAAGAGATCTCTAACCTGCACAAAACCACCAACCTGGTTATCGGACAAATAAAAGGGAAAGCGGTCATCGAAGTAAATTACTATTGTATTGTTTGTACATTTTAAGCTGGCTGTCTACATTTATCGCCGTTTTCACGTAGGATGCCGTAGGTTGCTCAGGTGGCGCAGAAGGGAGGCATGAAAGTTGCTTAAGCCCTTAAAATGAGGATACAGCGTCACTTGTAAAGCACTGCACTTAAACTTAATTTTAAACTCAATATTCAATAGAACTCCTGAAAGTTATATCACTAGAGAAAAAGGACTACTTCCAAACCTTTATGCAACAAATCAAATCAACTTTATTTAAAGTATGTTCTTATACCATCCTGGCTTCATAATATACATGTAGTATCGCCATTCAGGTTCTCGAGTCAGTCTCTCCGTCGTATTTCACCGCTAGATGGCGCGCTCACAGTGGGCTGTCTTGGAGGCGCTACTGATATAAATCTATCAAAAGTTGCTTTGGGTCAGATGTCCTGTCTGGAACAGGGAGACGTTGCCACACAGGTAAGGTGCTGGGAATAGCAAACATGGCGTTGTTTTAAGTATAACTTAAAATATATATCAAATTCTCTCTTTTGTGAAACACTTGAACCCAAGACAAGATCCAGTGGAGACGCCCAATACAACTTCGACTTTTTTGGCAAAGGTCGTTGTGCGGAGTGCACTTCTTTAAAACTTAGGACGGTCTGGTTTAAAATTCATCACCCTGTCATGGGGAGCGGGGCGGGGGCGAGCTCCGTCACACTAAAAAGGGCGTGGCTTTGAATCTGCCACAATGTCAGGTAAGAGAGGCGCATGGGGGGATGGGGGTGGGTGAGAACCAGAAGCATCTGTACCGGGGTTAGCATAACGAATTGATCGAGGATTACTATCTTTCAGAACTCAGGTCGTAGCCAGGGGCGGATTTAGGTCGTCTTCTGGGTCTTCTGGAAGACGGTCAGACTTTTAAGTTTACATTGACAGGTATCTATTTTTTCTGTCGGAAGACGGTCAAAATGGAGGATGGTAATAAAGATAATTTGGAAGACTGTCAGAAAATATCTCTGGATCCGCCCCTGGGTAGCCATGTCTACTAACTGTTGGAGTGCTTGAATCAATATAAATATCAATAGCAAGCTATTGTTAAGCCGTGTTTTAAACAAAGTCACTGACTTTATTTGCTTCAGTCGCTTTGGCTTTATTTGCTTGTCACGTACCTGAATTGCAACAGGTCGGATAACATATAGGTAAGGCTCTGTTGTACCTAGCGTAAAGCGGAACGTTTGAATATCGTATATGATATCGATTACGGGAACAACTTTAACCGTACGAAACCCTGTTTCTGTGACAAAGTTGTTATCCCTATCTTTTGCCATTACGCGAGGTACATGTAGTAAACACAACTCTACACACACTGGACAATAGAAGTGTCACCCATACTGAACCAACACTTTGGGGGAGATAAATGACTGTGGAATGATATGCTCCTGGTATCATTTTATTAACATCAAATTTCGCAAAAAGACCAACAATACAATTCCATGGTACAGCGGTTTTATACTCATTAGTCACATTATAAGTAGACCATGCATTATAACTTTGATTGCTCTGATTCAGGGGGTGACACTTCTATTGTCCAGTGTGTGTAGTATTCTTTCGTGTTATTCATTAACTACTTTCCAGATGGTTACCGCGCCGCTTTCTTTCCATTTCTATCTCTACCTTATGCAGTCTAGTCTCCAGCGGCCTTCTCCCCTTTTCATTACACACAGTTTTAAGTGTCATAAGAATATGCCGATCAACTCAGTTACCCTACAAAACACTCCCCGCTCTTTATTCGCTCATGGCTGTCAATTACAAACATTACATTTCCAGCATATGAAAATGAAGGTACTAGTATGAACATGTGTATAAGCATGCAGCGCATGAAATTGTTTTTGGGTGTGATCAAAACATCCTACGGGTGTACAAACGTACAGCAACTTTTGCCTGCGTACTCGAGAATTATACGACCTAAGTCTAACGAATTAAACGAATTAAATATTATATATTTTCTTAGATTTCAGATTTAAGGGTTTGGGTTCGCAGATGATCATTTACAACAGGTAATGAGGACAAATAAAAGAGTCAAATACGTATTTCTGTCTGTCATTGTGATTGGCTGTTTGTGGCAGTTTTTCTGGATGAACAAAAACATTTTCATAAACTATAGTAACAGGAGAAAAAACATTGGCGTCGAGAAATCCATTCAACAAAATTCGCAAAGACCATCTTGGAAAGAAGCCGACGATGCCGACTTGCCCGAGTCCATACATTTTCAATTTGAGGTTAGGTATGCAGTTTTACAAACAAGAGATTACAAACAGACAATAGGGAAGCGATTTGTGTATCTTATTCAGGGACCGACAAAAGGGTCCATTGAAGGATTGGTAGAAACCAATGAACGTGACGTCATTTGGCTGACGTTTGCAGATAAGTCAGGTGATATTTACTCACCGGGGACATCCCACAATTCTGGGAGAAATGTACTTCTTAATCATGCGGTGAACTTAGCGGCCCAAATGAAAGACGGCGGATATCTGTACTATATATTCATGGACGATGACTTGGAACTTTCGGTTAGGTCGGATGGGCAGGTCAATTGGAAAGCTTGGCCCAAGATGGCATCGGACCCTTATCAGAGGTTTGAGGAGTTTCTTATGTATTACCAACATGCTGTGGGTTACGTACGTTACCGAGACATGACAAGACAGTTTGTCAATAAAAAACAACCCGTAAACTTGAACTGGGATTTTGATGATTGTTTGAACGCTTTTCACAAGGATACGTTATCGTTTTTGATACCGTACGATTTGCACCTAGACTATGAATCCTGGTTTTATGGTGGCTGGATAATTCGCCAGTTGATCTCCATGCTGTATCACAGTTATCGCATGCAGTGTAACTCGTTGTACGTTTCAAATCGTGTCACAAAGAGAACTGTCTCGAAGGAAAGATACAGACGCTGTTTTGATTACGAGAAACCGCGGGACTACATTTCCTCAGCTTTGCTAACGAAAACAAAAGCTGTCCAAGCCAAAGCCAACCCATTAATAGCAGCTGTATTGAAAGGAACTTCTACACGCCAAAAACCAGGTACCCTGCAACCGGGTCTTAACATCACGTTTCCAGGGCAGCCAAAGCTAAAAGGTAACCATTCGTATCTTGTGACGCCGGATTTTATCCTACAACACTGGGACCCTACCCATCCCATGATTAGAAAAAAATTAAGTTGGTTACAAAAACCAGAAATACAGAAAATTCTCGGGCTAGATAACCGTCGTCTGCTGCCGTTTACACCTGACACTATGTACTGCTCCGCACCAAATATTTTTTCACTGACTATTGGGCAATGGCATCAAATGATGAATATGTTTACTCGAAAATGGTTGTGAGACCCTTTTCAGCGTCAAGTGTAATAACTGACAAATGTTTTTCTTGTAAAAAAGATTTTTTCATCTTGTGTCATTTTTTACTCATGTTGTTTAATGTTATAATTTGTCATTGATCTATATTATCTAAACATACCTATCGATCTGATTCGGTCGAAAAATGCTTATTACTATATGTGATTAAATGAAACCCAGAGCTCCCCAAACACACGCTCCTCTAACACTATTGATTGCCAAGTTCAACAAAATCCACTCAGACTGTGCCCCACATGACTGTAATAAGATACTTTTGCGCACTATTTGCGACTGACTCGAGTACACATACCTTATCAAACTGTTTATTTGTTTAAATATTGAACTCAGTACATGATAGTAGAGGAAATTAACCTTTTGGAGCGGCGAACTGATTGAAAAGATGGCACAGAACTAAAATGGCAATCGTTGTAGTCCCAACTGAAGTGGTACTGGCGCTGCTGGTCGGTCTGCTCTCCCTGATGTATCTGTCAATAACTGTCTCCAGTATACTCAGGGGCACTGGTCCGGTTTTCAGGATTCGGTTGTGGAATTCTTTCAGATCAAAATTCGAGCCTGGAATGGGTATATGGAATATCCGATGTTTAGAGATAGGCCTATGCAAAATGTGCCGAGAATCTTGAGTATGCGCGTGTGTGTTTGTGTGTGTGTGTAAGTTTGTGTGCGTGCGTGCGTGTGTGTGTGTGTGTGTGTGTGTGTGCGTGAGTATATGCTGTTGCAGGCGTATTTTTGTGAACATGCTTGTACTAGTACGTATGTTGGTGGTACGTATATTGGCGTGAGGAACAGCACGTCATAAAAAATTAGAAACTCTGTAAAGTATTCTTAAAGATGTACAAACAAATGCTTGAATGATGGTAAGTAATAGTAAAATGGTGTTAGCAACGAGATAAAGGTGTTCAAGATTTTCTCATGCTTACATAACAAAATAATGCATTTATAAACATTACCACAAGTCACACCCCCCCCCCCCAAC